TGGACTAGCTTCTGGTGATGAAAGGTATTACCTCACCTACCTTGTCTCTCTAATATTCTGGGACCGATATGATTATAACAACAATGCAAATAACATTAGAGATAGATTTCGGAGGGCTTTGGATAGCATGGGATAATCCTTAGAAAATTACAGGACTATGGTGTGAATGAATGCCTTCAAACTAGTTTGCCTCTCTAATTATTTCAGTCCAAGGTCCACAAAACAGCCAAACATCATCCCCTAACCTATCATATTTCATCATGCTTTGAGTGTAAAGGGTTTGGTCCTGGGTTAATTTTTCAACCGTTTTGTGGGTTTCAGCTCAAATAAGGTGGCTGGGGGCTGGTGCTGCTTGGTAGCAGTCCTCTGTAGTGGTGCAGCTTGGTGGAGTTGAGCATGGAGGCTGCTGGGTGGTGAAGTTTGAAGAAAAAGTGGTTGCATAATTTCCTGCTATTTTTCTCTCTCCTTTTTCTCTTAATGACATTTCACTGCTCTCTAATTTTCTCCCATTTTATTGTTTTCTATCTCAGTAGGTACCTTCCTGACCCCATCACAATAGTAACCGAGCCTCTCGGGAACATTCATGGACTGATTTTAGAACACTGTTGTGGTATTGTCCCCACTTTACAACGGGGAACCTAGGGCACAGGGAAACTAAGGGATTTGCCCATGAGCTCACGGAAGTCAGTGGCAGAGCCAGGAACAGACCCCAGATCTCCGATCCAGTGCTTTAGACAGATGGCCATTCTTCCTCTCCCTTCTGCTTGTCTCTCCCTATCCCTCTTGCCCTCCCCACTTTCCTCTGGTCCCCACCCACAACCCTGCCCTCCCTCTTCCCCCTCAATTCCTCATTTTTCTCCCCCTCACCTGTCTACCCTCTCTCACACCCACTGAGGAAGCCCTACTTTTTACTAGCTGCCGCTCTTTCTGCGGTAATTCTAGATTTTTTTTCTTCAGTTATCTCTGTGTTGGCTTTTCACTTTCTCCCTTTGGCTTGCTTTGTTCCTGGTATCTTGCTCCTCCCTTTCCCATCCCACTTTCCCTCCTATTCCTTCACTCTCTCCTCCTTCCTTCCCCACCCATCCAATTATTCTCACACTCATTGTTTCGTAATTCACCCACATTCGCTGACTCATTCATTCTCACACATTCATTCATTTATTCTCCCAATAACTCCACTTCTTTCACTCCCACACTCACCTACCATGTCTTTGTACTCAACTGATGGAATGATCTCACATTTTTGTCAGAGGCCTGTACGCTAATCCATATCCTGAAAGACTGGTGTGGTTACTATTTTGTTATACATACCTAATTGCACCCTCCCTAAAAGAGAAAAATAGACAGTTTTTGTCCAAATCTCAGAACACACTAGCATAAGATATTGACCCTAATTCACTCCTGGTGTTAACCCCATTGAAGTCAATTGATTTATATCAGGGATGAAGCAGACCTAGAGTGTCAGCCAATTTCAGCAGCACAACCACCTTCAGCTAGTTAGCTTAATTATCGGCAAGTACACATTATTGAAGACAATCTACTAAGTACATTAGTCAAAAATTACAAAGCAACACAAATGAAATGTTAGAGTCAGTTGCAAATTGGAATTTCTGTCCCGCAGGAAATTTCAATGTTTGAAAATTTGTTTTCATCCGAAATCACATCAAAAAGTGAAAATGTCCTCCTTTCTCCACCAGCAGAAAGAAAGTTCTGAAAAATTTTGTTTTGGAAATGTTGAAATGTTTCATTTAGACATCCCTGATCGATGTGAAATGTTTTGACATTCCTGGATTGAAATGTTTCCTTTCAGTTTAACATTGATCTGTGCTCCCCTGAGTTGCTGTGATGCCTCATGGAAGCTGTATTTGTTCATATACCAGATCTTCTCTATGGGGAGGAGTTCCCGGCTGGATTATATGTCTATAATGGACTGCAGGAGCTGAGGAAAATGCAGATTAACAGGAAACTAGTCTGAAACTAAAAGTTTCAATTTGGTCTGACAAATAGAAATATTATGATTCAGGACAACCTGAAATAAACAAAATAAACATTTCAATGTTCCATCAGAAAAATTGATTTTTTTGTGTGTGTGTGGCAAAAATAAACGTTTTCCAGTGAAAAATGTTCCATCAAAAATAATTTCAATGGAAAATTCCCCCAACCACCTCTATGAAATATCTACAACAATCTTTTACTTCACATACCGCAAGTAATGGCTAATTTTTCTGTTCACATATTATATTTTTCCTTTACACAAACTGTAAACCCAAGTAACCCTCTGATCATCAGGCACAGAAATGTTGATGATCCATGTTGGTAGCAGGCTGCTGATTCCCTGAGGAGCATATAATATTCTGTAAACCTGTGGCAACGGGATTGTGGAAGGGATAAGGCTGGAGGAAAATCTGGGCCAAAGAATGGTCACTGATTTTGGGTGCCCAATTTGGTTCTGATTTTCACAAGTTCTCGGCACCCCAGGAGAAGTTAATGGATGATATGGGTACTTGGCATCTCTGAAATTTAGGGTTAAGGTGTCTAAAGTTGGGCATACAAAATCACTGGTCACTACCATAAATGTGGGCCCTGGGAGTTTCTCATGTTCTCTCAGCCTGAACAATATATGAAGCTGGGCTTTTATTTCTTACCATGGGCTTACGGGCCTTAAAAGGGCATGACATTTTTATAGTCATTTCTGTTTTTAAATAAACGATGCAAGACAGATATTTGAACTTGACTGTAGCAAGAAGAGTCTCATGCTGGATCTATCACTGCTCAGATCAGCCTGTCACATATTTTATGGAGTGTCAACATTTTGTTTTGGCTCCATGGCTACTACATACATAAAATGGAAACTATGAAGAAACACATGGACTTGCCTTAGTGTCACAAGTAGGAAAATGCATGCAATACACTGAAGAGAGAAATAAATCACACAGAAAAATTATTCTGCTGCTTCTATCCTTGAAAAAATACACAGGAGACACAAATCAATATAAAGTAATACATTGTCAATTACCCGGTTTCTTAACCTAGCTTGACTTCCATCCAAACAGTCTATCACAACGTCAACAGCAAAAGGCTAGAAAACTAGTGGTCCAAGATCTCTTTGTTATTAGGCAGGTGAGGGAAACATGCAGAGTACAGTCAATAGAAACAAAACCACCCCGAAACCACAGGTAAACCCTGCTGTTTGAGCCACACAGCAACAAATAGAAAGAAAACACTGTATGGTAAGAACTCACAGAAGAAAGAAATACAGGTTCAAAGATATGGGCATTCAGACCCACAAGGCTGAATTTGTACTGTTCCTGTCATAGCGTCTGTCTCGTCACAGAATTCTATGCTAGGCTCCCAGTGCCTCAAATGGAGCTGAGCCCAGTGATCACCTCACTCTCTCAGGAAGTACAGATATCTCAGCTCAGAGCATCAGCAGTTGCACTAGGGGGTTGGTGAAGAAGGACCCAGCCAGGTTCCTCCTCACTGAGACCTTGGTCAGGCAGGGAACTAGGAGCCTTGGACCTTCAGCACCATTCTTACTTCTCCCACACTGTGTGGTATGGAACCCATGTCTCACTACTCCCACGGGAGGAGTCAGGAACTTGGGAGGCAGATACTCCCCAGTCCAGAGCATTCGTAGCTGTCCCATGGAACAGAGTAGAGGGCATTATCTGGGTCCCTTATGTTTGGACACCAAAGGGCATGGAATTTCTGGGGATGCTAAGGCCCTAGGTGCTCACAAGGCACCATGTGGGCAGGGGATGGACCCATACTCTCTGGAAGCACTGACTCTACAACTGGATGCCTTAGCAGCTGCACGAGAAAGCATTTTCACTTGATGTCAGCAGCATTCACCAGGCTATTTACACAGGAAAGGAAGCTTGTCAGTTGAGAGAGGAAGAGGAGTCAGAGAGGGCCTGGAGTATCAGCGTAGGCAGGAGAAAAGGGAAGATTACATAGGACTTGGGGACCACTAAGCTACATAACAGGGTGAGATGAAGGCTTAGATGGTACGCTTGGGTGAGGGATGATAAGAGGCACAGTGAGTGTATCGGCAAGAGTATGGGAAACTGCAGGATGAAAAAAATAAAAGGAAATCAGACTGAAAATACTTATAGGCAAGGCTGGCAGCACCACCTTTTATTAAGGCTGCCCAACACTTCCTATTATAAAACCTTGTTTTCAGTTGATTATAACTTTTCCAAACTTTAATTGTTTGGGCTGAGATTTCTCATGCCACATGTCTGCCTCAGGATGAATTTTACTGGAAAATTTCAGCCAAAAGGGTTCATCTGTTTCTGAGAATGAGGCTAGACTAAAATAAGCAATGGCAAAAGGACATTTTGGCCAGTCTGAGGCTACACTAAGGCTTTTGCTGGCATAGTTACCTCAGTTGGGAATGTAATTTTTTCACACTCCTAACTGACACAGCTATGTCAGAAAAACGTTGCAGAGACCACACTTAAGTCCCATTGAAAGTCAATGTTACTTAGGCTCCTAAGACACTTTTGAAAATTTTGCCCTGCACCTCCAACAGCACGGTATTCCCTCATCACGGTCATGCTGGTGTTCTGGTGGATGCAGGACGTTAAGAAGTCTTTCAGTTTGGAACTAAGTCTTTGATCACTTGCCACCGATTGAAAGTCCTACCTTGAGAGACATCAGTAAAGAAAATATACATGAAAACAATAACTTCCACCAGAAACTAATAAAAAATAAATTCAAAGCGTATATCTATTTTATTGTGGGTATCTGAGGACTATGAAATAATAAAATAGGACCAATCCTATGTCACAGTAAATCAAAATGCCAAATGGTGTATTCTCAAACTGACTGTCAAAAGCTTAGCAGTGTGACTTCCATTAGCTGCTCTTTTGAAAACCCCCAGTTTTAAAGTGTGGCTAGAGCCGTGTTTTTAAAAAGTCAACATTCAAAATAAGGAAGCTCCATGGAGACACTGGAGGGATTTATTTTTTCTTCTTTTACAACTTGTTTTCTGTAACCCTGTAAAATAGCTCTTTATTTCATGCCCACATTATTTCCTCTTTGCAGGATGACTTACCCCCATTCTGTTGGCCACCTCAGCACAGGATCCTGTTTCACTCTTCCCTGCAAAGTGAATGAGAAAATGAGCCTGTTTCTGCTGCTGCTGCTGAATTTCAAAAGGGCGGGCGTCTTCACAACATTGCACCCCCCAACCTCCCCTACAGACCCTGCCATCTGATCCTGGGTCAGGAGGGACTGACAAGGAAAGCACTGGAATTAAATCTGCCTCACCCCCATACCAGTAGAGCCACATCTGTCAAGAACACTCATATTCCCATGGAGCATCCGTAATTCTGAATGTTGACATTGTAATGGTACTGTGCACAGCTCAAAGCTTCCCTTATTGAACTGAGGATGCATTATACCCATGCGGCACATGCAAAGCCGGGCACAATAATGAGATAAAAGAGGGACAAACTAAGCAAGAGAGCCAGTCCAATGACAAAATGGAAATACAGTTCCTGACAAATCAAACTTAACCCCCTCCTCCTCCTCCCCTCCTCCCCCCGCCTTCAAGCTGGGGATACCTCTTATCTCCTTATAGGCCACCCCCCCTTCATTTGAAATTACTGAAAATGGTTGATCATGCTATTATAAATCAAAGTAACATACTAGGGAAATGGAAATGTTATGCCATGCATTCCAATGATCCTTTTTACTCCTCTTTTATATCGAATGCCATACAGAAGCAATTGCCAGGAAGAAAAAAGTTTACTTTTCTGTCCTCAATATCGATAACTAAGAGGAAAGCTGACCTTTGAATATTTTGGCAGGCCTGTGACACAATTCCCCCTCACCCACCATCTACCCTCCTTCCACTCTTCACACCACTAGGCACAGGACACCCCTAAATTTAACTAAATTTAACTCACTTTAATAAGCGTGTGTGTGTGTGTGTGAGTGAGAGAGAGAGAAAGAAAATGTCTTTAGGATCTTCATTCCAATTTCCTCCTGCACAAGTGGAGCCCACTGCTTGTTCCTTCCTTTGCAGTAAGTTTACATCAGTTTTCCAGGCTCTCATCACAAGCACAGGAGTCGGAGGCAGGGCCGGCTCTAACTTTTTTGCCGCCCCAGGCAAAAAAAAAGAGCGCCGCCCCGCCGTAACCCCCCCCCCCCCACTGAGTGCCATGCCGGGCCGCCGAACCCCCCCCCGCCGAGCGCCACGCTGCACTGTGCCGCCCAAACCCCAAGCGCTGCGCCACCGAAGCCCCCACCCCTCCAGCACCGCGCCGCTGAAGCCCCTGCCCCCTCCAGTGCTGCACCGCTGAAACAAAAACAAACAAACAAAAAACCTTGAGCACCGCCCCACCGAACCAAAAAAACAAAAAACCCCGAGCACCCCCCGCCACCCCAAGATTGGCTGCTCCTTCCAAGGTGCCGCCCCAAGCACGTGCTTGATCGGTTGGTGCCTGGAGCCGGCCCTGGTCGGAGGGTTACTTTAACCCCCCCGCCCCAAAAAAACCCAACAAACCCTGGGATTATCTTGTAATTTCTATTTCCCTCAAATGGGAGGGTCTGTAGCCTCAGGCTTTGCATCACACAAAGGCCACCTCTTAGGAAACCCTTAAATCAAATCATATCCCAGGGTACAACAGGTTAAAAAAAAGAACTGAAACACCTCCTACAGCAGATATTCTCAACTTTTTCTATGCCATGACTCTGTTTACAACAGAAAGAAGTTTTGGCACTCGTTCTCCCATCTGAACATAAAGAAAAGGAAGGTGGCCATGACCCCCCGCAAAGAACCTACAGGTAGAGGTGGAGGGGGGTGGGACTTGTACGGATATTGCCTGTATACCAGTCCCAGCGCAGGCAGCAGGAGGCTTATGCTGGCTACAGAGCACCTTTCTGCACTGGGGCTGCAGCTGCTGTGGTCAGTTCACTGGGGAGGGACACGGTTTGCACAGAAAAGGGGAGGGAAGGAGGCAGTTGTGGGAACCTGCCAGTCGCTCCTCCCTCAGCAGCAATGCGCCCGGGATCTGCCCACTGCAGCCAAGTCCCCTCAGTGTGCAGTGGGAGGGGAGGGCAGCCGGGTCTCCCTTCCATAGCTGGGCACTCCCGCTCCCCCAAGCACCACTTGGAGCACAGCCAAGCAAACTCCTGTGGGGCGGGGGGGAGGAGAGAACAGGATATCCAAAGTTAGGTGAAACTTTCACAGGCATGTGACCATCAGGGAAGTACAATAACCATTGTGGCCACATGAGGAGAACCGTCCCCTCCCACAATTACTGCCTATCTGATTAGGGAAAGGAGTTATTAATAATGGGCCACCCTGGCCCTGGGTGCAGGTGTTGTTTTGCTGGTTTTCTCCTCTTGTGAATTCTGTGTATGGTTGCATCTAAATTTATGAACATGCAGTATACCATTTTTTTTCATTAACAGTTTATCACCTCTGGGAACATTATGCTTCTTCTTGCAGTAAATACAAATTTTTTCTTGCAGTAAATTGCCTGTGCTCTGAAGTTTGGGAGGAACCAACATGCAATGAAAAAAAGACAGATGTATAAATGAAGCATGCACACAACCAGCTGAAGCATAGCTGGAGTTTGGCAAGAAAAAAAAAAAGAATCATATCCAAAGTGACACTCCAGCAAGAGCTGAATATAAAAGGCACTGATCAAACACTGAATTTTCTGTTAAGTGCTTCCTATCTCCTACAGCACACCACTCCACATAGCATGATGTTTTTATATCGTACGCAAAGAACAATCATGGATCACAAAAAAGCAATCATTTGAGTGAGAGCTGAACATCCCTAATTCAACATACTCCTGCTTTTGTTGGTCTCTCATGGTATATGTGTGAGAAGCACCTCAGACTTTATTCTGTGTCCCATTATTATTTATATTTGTATAACAGTAGCATTTAGCAGCTCACTGAGATTGGAGCCCCATGCTGTTGGGCCCTGTACAAAACCACACCAAGTTGAAGTCCTTGCTCTAAAGCACTAACAATGTAAACAAACAAGATAGATGAAGTACATAGCATTACACCCATCTTGAGATGTGGAACTGAGGGAGACTGAGTGACACACCCAAGGTTGCCCAAGAAGTCTGTGGTAGAGCTGGGAATTGAACCCAGCTTTACTGCATCCCAGTCGAGAGCATCAGCTACAAGCCTGTCCTTTGCCTCATGGGAAAAGCCCCCTAGGTTTGCACCAATGACAATCTTTACACTAAGACAAGGTAGGTGAGGTAATATCTTTTGCGGGATCAACTTCTGTTAATGAAAAACAAGCTTTTGAGCTACACAGAGCTTGTCTTCTTCGGATCTGGGAAAGGTATTTTTCCCAGGTACCTTTCCCAGACCAGCAGAAGAGCTCTGTGCAAGCATGTCTCATTCGCCAACAGAAGTTAGTCCAATAAAAGATATTACTTTACCCACCTTGTCTCTCTAATATCCTGGGACCAACATGGCTACAACAACACTGCAAACAGACTTCTCATGTGAGTAATAGGAAATTTGTCCTAGCAGCAGTGTATTTCAAGTTGAAATATCACTGATTACTTCGTGAAGTCCTTCAATGGCCATGTCAGATATCAAGATGCCATGAGAAATGAGTAAGTTTAGCTTTTCCTCATTCTTAATAAAACTGTCATTGCCACATTCACATTGTGGATTTTGATTCTCATTCTCAGCATTCATGATATTTTCTCATTCATGTTTGAGTTTCACATTCATTGTGGATTCCTAAGAAAAACAAAAACTGAACAAACCTGCCACCACGCTTCTACTTTCACAGAACTTTTTAGTTTGTAGGCATTGCTTGCATAATCTGTTTCACAGGGAAAGTATATTCAGTTTTTTTTACTTTTTAAAAAAACGTGCATGCCTTACTGCATACTGTGGGTATTGTTTAGGGTTACCATCCGTCCGGGTTTCCCCGGACATGTTCGGCTTTTTCAGCCTTAAATGGCCGTCCGGGGGGGATTTCTAATGAAGTAGAAATGTCCGGGATTTCCCCTCCTGCGGAGTGCGGCGCGGCTGATTGGACGCCTGGCCTGATTGAAAGCCGCTCGCAGCCACTAGGAACTCTAGCAGCCAGAGTCCCTCCCCCTCCCCCGCTCCCTCCTCCCCCACAGAGCAGCTCGGAAGTGTTTGAGTCCACGTGGAGCCTGCATTTCTCCCTCTGCCGGGTGAGCGGGGGGAGCAGGGCAGGCGGCGGGGGTGTGTGTGTGGGGAGCAGGGGGCACAGAGGCTGCAGGGGCGGGGGGGGTGCAGAGGCTGCAGGGCGAGTGGGGAGCAGGGGGCACAGAGGCTTCAGGGCGAGTGGGGAGCAGGGGGCACAGAGGCTGCAGGGGCAGGGGGTCACAGAGGCAGCAGGAGTGGGGCAGGCAGGGGGCGCAGAGGCTGCAGGGCGAGTGGGCAGCAGGGGGCACAGAGGCTGCAGGGGCGGGGGGGTGCAGAGGCTGCAGGGTGAGGAGGAGCAGGGCAGGCAAGGGCATAGAGGCTGCAGGGCGAGTGGGGAGCAGGGAAGCACTTAGCAACCCCCAACCAAGATCAGAGCGGGAGGGAGGAGGGGGAATGCAGGGTGCTCAGAGGAGGGAGCAGAGTTGGAGCAGGGACTTTGGGGAAGGGGTTGGAATGGGGGCGGAGAAGGGGTGGGGTTGGGGCGGGGAAGGGGGCGGGGAAGGGGC